GCTTCAATGATTGCTACCCAGAGTTCCTTTCGGTCCAGTCGCGTAGGCTTGAGTTGGTCGACGACAACGTTTTTTGAATTGACTGTATACATGAAAAAATTTCTCGATACTGAAGGAAGTGACGTTGAACATGTGACAAGATAATTTATTCAACAAACCATATTCTTACACTTGCGAACGTTTATGAAAAGGCAATTGTAGAAGCTAAACGTTCAATAATAATGTAAAAAAACTGTTCAAAAATGTTCAATCAGTGTCGGAATTGCTTACGATGATTATGCGCTTTTGTTGCACAATAGTAGGAGAAAAGGTCGTCTGGCTGCTTGGCCCGGTGTTTAAGTTGAATGTGACAGTGCATATTGACGAAGGAATTCATCAAGTTTTGGGCTTGAGAACTCATCAATTGGGGACTTTTAGGCATCTGCATGGCACTAGGAACAGATGAAGTAGCTGAAATCAGATCTTTGGAGTTGTTCTTTCTTGATATGGCCGATGAAAGCTCTCTCTGCTCATCTTCATCTGCTTCGTCATAGTCATCCAAGGACTACACATTTCGATGACCGGTTACCTTTGCAATGGCGGCTCTTTCAAATTTGGCTTTCTTCAACTTACCCACCACTGTTTTACGGGCACTGTGGTTTGAAAATCATCATAACTTTAAGGCTTTCTGACTCATAATCTTTCCCGTCCTTATTTTTCACTTCAGCTTAAAATCTCTCAAGTAAAATGTTGAGTTCAGCCGGCTCGTAATTATGGATTTCGTCGTTTGCTCCATTTTCTATGCACCATTTTCCCTACACACTGAGCCAGAAGTATGTACTTCTGGATGTATTTTCATTTTTAGAGCTCAGCTATTGTATTTTCAGTTGCAAAAGAAAATTTAGTTAAGAGCGAAGGTCCACTAACATCGAGCATCGGCCAGTCACGGTCAAAATTTCGATTTTGCTCATTTTTGGTTTGTTGGAAGGTATTACCGAGTAAACAAACGTGGTGTAGTTAGTTTTTCAAATAACCGCTAAAAATCTGAGAAATCCGAGAAAAACTGTTGGCCTAGCGGCGATC